TCCGTTACTTTCGTATTGAAAGTCGGAACAAAAATAATAATACAAAAATATACAAGAAAGTCAAATAAAAGAGAAAAGTGTGTGTTTGTGTGGAGAGGGCATTTTTCGCATAATCTCTGCAGATTTTGGCGTTCTTTTCACACATCTCCCGCTTATTCATGATGGATCGGAAATGTTCCTCTCCGTAGATTAAAAATCAAGAAAGAGAAGGGGAAAGAATTTGAAAGAATTTGCAGAAAGAATGTTGATGCGAGGAAAAAAAAGAGCCTATAGCGAGAAGATAAATCGTAAAATCCCGTTTTTTCAGTTGTCCGAAGAAAAATTTGATCCTTCGGTTTTCCATTTTTACCTATCACTTTGTACTTTGTATTTCGTGTGGGGGATGATTTTCACAAAAAATTTCAAATTAAAAAAAAATCATTTTGTTTTATTACTTTTAATTTTTTCATGTTATTACTGCTCCATATATCTTAAAAAGCAATCGGCACATTCAGGGCATTGAAATGCCAATTAAATCGCATTTTAAATCCTTTACGGTTTTTTCTTCAGGTTAGTTTTATCTGTTCCAGCAGTCTTTATCAGGTTAGCAGTCTTGTTTTTTTTTATTTCCATGCAAATATCCAATTTTAGTAAAAATTTTGAATTTTAGTCTGATTTCGAGCGAGTAAAGCGAGCATGTAGGCCTTATAAAGACTAAAAGTTTTCATTTATATAGAAAAAAAAACTCAATGTGGTCCCGGCAAAACTAATTTTGAAAGCTTCATGTAGGGAGTTCTTTTTTTGATTTAATTTTTTCCTTGTTTCATTTTTTCATTTTTTTTTCTGAATGTTCCGATTGCCTTATATGTTAAAAAAATGAAAAAAAAAAAATTCAGTTAAAAATTGAGATTTTTTTGTGAAAATCATTCCCATATAAAATACAAAGTGATAAATTTTGCTCCTAAAAAGAAATCAAATGCGGAATCCGCGTACTTTTTCCGTAATTCACTTATATCAAGTTATTAAGCATTAAAAGTTTGCGGTTTAAATTTACAGATGTTGATACTAATACAATTTGCAGAATCCACTTTTATTTGCGGAGTCCAGAACAATTTGCTATGTTTGCTCGCTGCAGAATTTGCGATACAACTGATGTACCAAAAAATATGGTACATGGTATTTGTGCTCGGAATCCACTGAAACTTTATATGTGGAACCCCACTTACTTTTTGGAACATCTTCAAAGAATTGACTCTGGAGTCCAGTGACCGACACACGCACCAAACAGTGCGTCCGCCTAATTAGTGCTGACTTTGACTTCGTAATGGCAGCAATTTTCACGATATTCAAAAGTGAAAATTGCTTTTTCCTAATTTTATTTTTTTGCTCATTAAATTGCGAATTTGCATGCAGATTCCAGCCAGCATCATGATCAAATTTTTCAAAATCAAAAAGAATAATTTTGGGCCATAGAACAAAAATACCCTATTTGTCATTGATAATTCAACACATATCATCATGAGACAATCACAAAACTTTCAGATGATGCAAATAGATTTGAAACAAAAACAATAATTTTGAAAAAACGATGAGCTGTAAGCTGTTGGAGGGGGCAAATTTGATATCCCCCAAAGCAGTTGGGGGGAGAGGTCAGGATCTTTGGAAGGATGAAAAACCAGTGGAGGGATGAAAATGAACTAACAATATAGCGTGGTAATTTAAAGTGCTGCCATTTGAAAGAGTTTCAGTAAGACATGGAGTAATCAGTGAGTGTTACTAAGAGTATTTTTGTAGACTATTAGCTTATTTCAAAAACAGATTGATGCAGAATATGTAGAGCCAGTTTTACAACAGATTTTCTTCTCTTATTTTTTGATGTAAGACAGCCTTGAAATAACTGGAGAGTTTTATTTTCAAGACGCATAAGCGAAAGCAAGAGGCAGAAGCATAAAATATATAAATATTTTTTAAATTATGCAGATATACGATCAACTCAAAATCTTCACAAAAAATGAAGGTAAAATGTATTCAGTAAAGTTTTGAAAGATAGACTTCCATAAGAAAAAAGTGATAATTCTGGGTGATTACGTGCGCATAGCAAAAGTACTTAAATGAATTTTTACGTTTAAACGAATTGATGACTTTTTGAGTTATTTGTAAATTTTTTTCTTCACCTGTTTTTAACTAGGTGCCCATCTGTTTAGAGTAAGTTGTACTGATGCAGGATGAAATACGTAATTTTCAAAATTTCAAAAAGAAGACTTCGCCCAAAACCTGAGTGATTTCTCTAATATATCAGCTTCTGTAGGCGAGATGCCTGCTACTCTTCTTTCAATTGACTTCCAAATCAAAGCAGGACATGATAGTTTTCAAAAAAAAATGTAAAATTTTCCATATGGATTTTTCCTAAAGCAATAACAATTTTTCTACAAAATTAGAATGTAAGCGTTTATTCATGGAAACTTTTTGCACCGTGTTCTTTCAAATGAACCATTAACCTCCAAACTGGCCGGGCAATTTTTGCAAAAAAAAAACTCGAAAATGACCGATGTTTTGATCGGTGATCATATATTGATTTTGATTAAGTAAATAACGGTGTATCTACAGAATTTGGGGCGTAGCTGCTTCTGGATGCAAAATTCCCGCAAAATTTTTTCTCGAATGAAAGCGTAGTCCCAGAGCCATTTAAACAAGTTACATTTCCAGAGTTTTTTTCGATTGAACTTTAATTCCCAGATTTAGCAGGGTAGTTTTCGAGAAGAGTAAAAAAAGCTTGTTAAAATGCGAAAACGGCAAAACCTCCGTTTTTGGTTTTTTTTTTCAAGGCCGCAACAATTTTCTGAGAAAAATTAGGAAGGAAGATGCCACTTCTGCGAGAATTGAAACTTGGAACAATTGGAGGTATACTTTTTGAGATGAAAGAAACAATTTTGATTTTTCCTGAAGCTTCTTCCTACAAGGGCGTACCAATTTTTGCCTAATTTATATATTCGATTAAACCATTAACCTGAGAAATGGCAGAGTGTTGTTCAAGCAAAAAGTCCAAAATTGATCAAGAACTCAAAAATTTGACTTTTTCAAGGGCCCTAAGCTTTTAAAATTATTTGAGCAAAGCCATTAACGCAGAAGCCATTAACGCTTCTTGTAAAGAACCCAAAATCTCAAACTTTTGAGGAAAGTTCTCGAGAGAAGTGCAAAAAATTCCAAAAACAATTGTTAAAAATCAGTATACTGGACTTTTTTGAACAGCACAACATTTTGTGTAATAAAAAATTGGGCGTAGCTTCTAAAGTAAGAGAGCCACCCACAAGTTATTGTTTCGAGTGAATGAAAATCTCAAAATGTCTCCAAAATTGGCCAAAAGTTCAAAAAATTGACAAAACCGAGGACCATGAATTTTTGTGTAAAGTCATTTGGGCATAGCTACTTACAAAGAGGGCTTTGAACAACTCCTTGCTTGTATTTGACCCAAATCTCAGATCTAGCAGGGTCTTTTTCGAAACTAGTGGATTTGTGTACGCACACAGAGAAGTGGGGGTTAATTTTTCTTTCGAAAATCGAGTAATTTTTAATCGTAATTTTTCTTTCGAGAACCCTAAGTTGGTTCTGGGTAAAACTCAAACTTCTGCGATCGTGAAAAAATTTTCCAAAACGTCTGAAAAAATTTTTTAAAAAAAATACAAAAAGCTAATACTTTGTCGGAAGGGTTTTATTTTATCAAACATTTATTAATCCCGAAAAAAAAACTTTTGTTAAATTATTTTATTGAAAGTTTTTGCTTTTTTAACAATAATACCTGTCCCAACTGTCAGAAACATTCGATTTTTAGGCAAGCCATTATGATAAATATGAAAAATAAAAGTGAGTTTTTACCGTGCGTATGCAAAATTTCCTATTAATCAAGGCTTTGTAAATAAAAGTTTTCTTGCGGCGAAAATCAATTTTGGGGAACGCTAAGGTAGCCAAGGCTCTTTCAAAGAATTTAGCAATTTTTCCCCTGAGCTAATCACGTAAACAATCACTCAAAATGGAAAAATTCTGATTGGCGTAGAAGGAGTTCTTTTAACCAAGTGGAAAACTCCTGCCTACCCCCCTTCCACGCCACACCCCCCACGCCACACCCTTACCCCCGTCCAATGATTTAGGAAGGATAATTTTAATTGGTCCGGGGCTTTTAAAAATTGAAAAGCCTGTAACATATGTTTACCTTCTTTTCTGGGTACTGGAGGCGTGAGCTGGTACAAAATTAGAAACCTAATTTAACTGGACCAGAAGTTTAACAAGACCATGCGGTGAATTAGAGTAGCCTTTTATATCACAACTTGTCTGCAAGATCTCTAAGCTATAAATTCTTTGCTTTGGAGGGTTGAAAATTTAATTAACTCTTTTGAATGTGCCGAATTTAAAACACAACGCCCAACTTCACTTTCGTGGAAACTGAAGTATAATCTGTGCATTGTTAAAGAGTACTTTCAAGGGAAGGATTTAATGGAATTATGGTTTTTGAGAGTGGAATTATGTGAAATAGAAATTTGTGCCTCATATGAAGTGTCTGATTGGCGTTTTGTCATAAAAAGCAGATCGGCCTAATTTTTCACAAGCGCTTCCAAGTAATCGGTTTATGGGGGTTAGGTGGGGCTATTGGCGAGAGGGGGGTTTCGGATAGTAGGTTATGTACGGAATCGGAAATTTCCGATGTAACGCAAATTGACTGCAAAAAAATCAGTATACACTTTATCATGAACTTAGTGTATACAGATTTTTTTGCAGTCAATTTGCAAGTGGAAATCCCCTTTACACTTCTTAATGATGAAAAAGAACATGTAAATTTGTATACCATCATTAAATCAATTTATTAATTCAGATTTTCTCAATTAGCGAAAAAGCATGGAAATCAGTCACCTATGAACAGATTGAAAGACTTTGATTGGTTGAAGTTTTTCTGCCATTTAGACCATCTTGGCATCAAAACAACCCCAGCTGTCGTCTAACTGGCTTTCGTTGCAGTGTCACAAACTCACCTTAAGATCAATTACTAGCTGCGGGTGCGTCCTAAACTCCCTATGCAACTCTCTCGGCTATTGAAGTCGTAATTTTGCCCTGATATCTGTTTCGGCCTTGTAATGGTCTTGTAGTGGGATTAAAATCCTTTGAATTTGTACCATCTGGTTATTCTCAACAAAGCAATTTCACAGCCCAAAGTACCTCTGCAAGATAAGTTTGACAGGTGATCAAACTTAGCGATTCACTATGATCTAGCTTTGCTGCTTGAACAAGTTGTGGTCGGCGTTGAAATACTCTAACGGAACTAACCATAAATCTTTCTAATATTTGATGAAGATAGTTTTAACAGGTGAATTAAAGTCGCGAACAAAAAAATCGCATGAATTTTACTTTCTGGTGGATCAAAAATTGTTCGTTTTTTTTTCAGTGAGGTTAAAATCGTTCTCTAACCATAAAAAAATTAGAATATGAAAAATTAATGAGCTGTTTTATTTTCGCAAATAACTGAAATAGAAATTGGTATGGACTAGGCATATGTATAAATAATGTGCGAAATAAACGGAACGAATAGTTCCTTTGAATGCTATAGATTGGGAATAGGTAATAAACTGTTTACAGAACCTGTAAACTCCTGACTGGAATCGACCTCAATCCAACCAGCATAAGACACAAATAGCATAACATTTCTGAGCACAGAGATGATCGGCGATATGCTCATAAGCCTTGGATGGTGTTTCGAGCTGCCGCGACCAGTAAAAAGTAAACACCCGTAAAAATTAACTAAAACATTTCAAATGAAACTCTTCTTATGCTAATTGGGCTCTCCCTTATTCGGTACCCCTGACTTATGACATGACGTGATAGAGCGGAAAAAGCGGTACAATAAACAAAAACAACAACATATGTTTTCTTATTTGTTGGTACTATTCGGAAGCGCAACTAAGCGTAAAGAAAATGCCATAAAGATTTAAGTTTAATCAAGTTGACAATAATTGAATCTACCTGTTCCGCTTTTATACGCAGTTTATACGCTTTAAACAAGTCATAATTAATGGCAGCTAAGAACATTTTTGAGTTAATTTGATTCTTACCATCAGCAGGAATTTAAAATATTGTTTGCGGCATAAAAAATAATGAAAATTTCATCAGAAGAAAGCTTAAAAAACGTTACGACGTTTGGTAATTGACAATCAATTTAAATTTATGTAATAAATTGTATAAGCAATGAAGAAAAAGTACGTGCAAAGGCTCTGAGCTATAAAAGTGAAAACTTACATATCATCTTTTCGATACTAGAGTTTTCGGGTATTGTTAACTATTCTACCATGTAACCTAGTAAGAAATTTCAGCCCTCCAAAACTCAACTCAACACAGCATGACTCGGTTAAGGAGGTGGTTGACAAGACCAAAGGCTTCGATTTTATTCTATACTTATAACTAAGACACAACACAACCTTCCCCTGGAAAATCTGATCTAAATTGCGCAAAAATTTTTGACATAAATAGCTGAGTGGTCTTCTTTTTTTGTTAAACTAGTGAAATAAGCTTGAGTTTAGTTTTGACTGGGACTAACTCGTTGAAACGCGAGACTAACGCATCAAGTCATGGTCTAAATTCGTCACAGTCCGACTTGAATTAATTGACAACCGCTTGCGCTCATAGAAAATACTCTAAAAACTCAATTAAACTATCAGAAACCAGACAAAATTTTACAAAAAATTGACAATAAACACAGAAAAACCAGAAAACACAGAAAAACAAAATTCTAAGAATCTAGTGACTCGTCAGTTCACAAATGAGGCAGTCCGTTTCCCTGTCCTTGACTGTATACATAATTGTACCACTAACAAACGAAGTTGATCAAAACTTTTCGGCTCGTGGTCAAGTCTTCTTCTTTGCAAGGGACAATTGTATCACACTTTTTTCTCAACCCTATTTGTAGTTGGTACACCCAGATGCCGTTTTGTTTTTAACTTTACAATATCCGAGAGGATTCTCAGATACCATTTTAAGTTTGAAATCTTAAAAAACCTCATAACTTTACAAAAAAGAATCACAGATTAATAAAGAGTGTACAAATTCCACTGGTAAGCTAAACTAACTATCTAAGTTAAAAGAATAGAAGTAAGTGTGTCAAATTAAAACAGACCGATGTCTAAATAGAGCAACTAGTGACGCGAATTCCACAGGACTTCGTAGAGCTAACAACTTCCTGGTATCTAATTAACTAACAGAGGTCACAGCCAAGATTACTACTTAAAGTGCACAATCACCACAGTCCCCAATGCACGAAAAAATTGTATCTGCACTTTTACTAAGTAGCCAATATCACACCTATACTCCCTTCTCCCTTCACCCCACGGGATCCGAAGTTTGACACAAAAAGAATCAGCATTCAGCACCAATGGAATTTACATGAGAACACACACATTAACACGGAGATGAATATGAGATAAAACTTACAAGCTACCTACAAAATGTTGCAGATATATACAGCAAATGAACAAATTAGTAAAAAAATTTGTTTTGTACAATTGGGGTTATGATTAATATAAGCAATAAAAACATAGTAAACTAAAATGGTAATTTTGCTAAAATGAGTCCAACAAGGAACTACTACTAAGATCATTAAGGTTAAGAATTGAGCGTGTAAAGAAAAATTATAACAAATTGATGTATGAACCAATGGTAAAAAGCACGACTTGATGTCCAATTAAACTAAATGCTTTTTGTGAGTTTAAGCTGAGGAATTGAATATTTGAACGAAAATGTCTGCTGTTCTAACTTCCGTATCAAGTGTTGACAAAATATCGCTCCCCTCAATGTCTTTGTTATCCAATGGGAGTTCTTCCAATGGGGAGCATAACACAACAATTTTCGGGTTAATTGAGGATGTAGTCAAATGTGAGCCTTGTGTCGTTTCTGCAACTAAGGTTGGTCTTGGTGGTATATCCTCCAGATGTGTCAAGATTGCTGATGGTGACTCGATAGTATTGGACATCTGGCATCTGTTGGTTGACAAAAATGTGATTAGTGGTTCCTCTTCTGAGTCAATCACGACTATTATCGCAGCTGCTGGGACACCTGTTCAAAAACCGCCTCCCTCCATAAAATTTTGGGGGGTCTGGGTTCCTTCTTGGGCGAAACGAACTGCATCTTGGAGTTTCTGTTATTGCCCTTGTTTGCTTCTCAGAGTAACTCTCAATTGCTATCGGATTTTTGTTTGTGCCAGGAGTTAATGCAGAGTAGACCGAGATTGAGAATTCGCCGGGAAGTGTTCGTCTTGGCTGATCTGGAGCACTATCACCAATAAAAGACTTGGAAATTGGGATAAACCTCCCGTTCAGTGCCCAAATAATCCTCTAAAACATTGTCCCAATGGTCTAGGTCTAGTGGTGAAGATAAATCCGAGTTAACGAAGCTGAAGCCTCTAGTGAGTTTGGCTTTTGTTTTCCTCCTTTTCATCGAACTGGAGCCCGTTGGTGTCTAAGCTATTGTTGGACCGGTTGCATTGGAGTCCATTCTTTTCAGAGGGGAGTTTCTCTTCCTTTTTCCTGCTAAACCATTTTTAGTAACTGAAGTATTCGGGACGGACAAAAATTTACTTGGTGCCAAATTTAGATTTTCTTGAAAGCGAGGTCCAATTTTCTAAGTACAGGGCCGTTATCTAGGGTTACAGTACGTTTTGTGTCTGAAATAGATTTTCCGACAAAAGATTTAAGGTACGTTTGGCGTTCCCTTCTGTTCACTGACTTTCTATACCAATTACCTCCTTGACTGAAGGGGTTAGATAATGGGGCTCTCGGTACGACTTGATCTGTTTTTATCGGTAGGGTCTTTCTCGTGTCCCCTGTTGTCCGGTATCATTTCCTCTAGGTATCCGTCCTCTGTGGTATCATTCGCTCCCCCGTCCTGCGCTCTCTCTTATGACAAAATCGGCTTCCATTTATCTAAACCAATGGCGCGTGAAACTAAAGATTTCCAGAACGTATTCGGTGATCTATTAAAATGTTTACAGAAAGGAGAACATCCAATAAGTGGTTGTTTCGTTGAACGAAGATTCGAAATGATTTTATCAATCGCCGCATTTAAAGTCGGCTTAGCTTTGTTAAACGACATTGCCAAAAGTTTTGCTTTGACTGTATAAAGAAGATGTTCTATGACTCCGTTAGATCTATGATCTCCAACTGTACATGAAATTAGATTAATTTTATTCTTCTCGCAGAAGTTTTTAAAATCGTTCCAAATGAAGCACGACCTAATTGGCTTCGGATACCAGTGTAGATTACAGTAATCCGACATAATTGTTAGTAAAGAAGAGGCTGAAGTATTGTTCACCACCTTTGCCAAAGGGAATTTTGTGAATCTATATATACATAGAAGAGGTATTTTGATGTGCCCCAGATTTTCTCTAACGAGCCTGCAAAATTCAAGTCAATTTTTTTATTTAGTGCTAATAGAACCGGTAATTTCTCCGTATTGTTTGAGCCCAGAAAAATTTTAAGATTCTCACCCATTTTTATGCACTGAATACAGTTTTTCCGGTGGTAATAGATTTCTCGTTAGAGGTGTGGCCATCAAATTTTCTCTGCCAGCTCTTTCATCACGAACTGTCCTGGATGGGTTTAGTTCAATAATGTCATAAATGGGGATCTAAGGCTGCTGGAACGATTTACTTGTTGTCATATTATTCCTTCCTTTACATGGATGTCCCGTTGAAAGTCTTCAAGTACGCCTCAAATCCATCCAAAGGTCGACCTTCTGCCACTGCCTTCTTTACGTTTGTAAGGATTTTGTCTTCGTCTTATCATTTTGATCAATTTGTTGGAGCACTGGTCCGTAAATACTAGAGGAGTTGTAAGTAGTTTTAGCTCTCCCTTGTACTTTGCGAGAAATTTCTTATGAATTTCCGACATAATGTCGTTACCAAATTTCACTGAGGTTCCTTGAATTTCCGCCCGAAAGGATAATTTTATAGAATGTATTGAGGATTGAACTTCTGTTTTCAATATTATCTTCTCGATTTAGAATTAAAGCATTTGATAATAAAGGTTGTGTTAAAAAAGGTAAGTTTTTTCTGCTAGGAAAAATTGATTGAAATTGAATTTGGCAAGATTTAGTGGAATACACTGCTTGAACAAGACTCTGAGCGCGAGTGTTTAGAATTGCAAATTCGTATTGTGTCTGTGACGTACTTAAAAACATTCGCAAAGAACGACCGTTGGCTATGTAGTAATATTTTTTTCTTTCCGACCATTGGATTTACGCAATCAAGCTAGAAGTTCTTTTTACACTATATACATCTACTGGATTATCTTTTAACAATTCGTTCTTTATGCGTTTCTTCTTTACAATCTTTACAATCACTATTTACAGAAAAGTTTTCGAAAAATTTTGTTCACCGTGTCACCACGACACCAAGAATTCGTTATCATAATATCAGGTCGGAAGGGTTTTCCTGTGAGTAAACTCAATAATAGGTCAGTGAATCCCATTTCTTTTTCTGGGATATGTTTTATTTTGAAATTAAACGGCAAAAGTCAACTTACCCAACAGGTAAGTCTGCTATGCATTG